AATGAAATATATTATCAATTTTCTAGTTTTAATATAAATTTTTAGGAACTTGGAGAACTGCACCTTAACCTCTAACAAGACAAGTGAAGATTCGTCAAAAATTATGCTCGAAATTTCTATATTCGTTTTAGAAAATTTGGAATAAATATTATTTGCCAAGTTTTGATGGAACAATAATGCAGTCATGTCAGACCAGTCTCTTTTAATGGCGGCACTATCAGAATTGAAATCTCCGAGCGAGTAAACATCGCACAGGTGCCTAGCCATCGATTATGGGCAATATAAATACTTGCTACGTGATGTAGGTACGATTCTGTGAAACGGCCTACTGATACGTGCCACTAGTTACGTAATATGAGGCTACGTGATTTAGGCAGGATACTGATAACGACTGTGAAACCGGAGGGCTCGAATTATGCGACTCAATAAGTTTGTGATTCCTGCACGAATTTTTAATCTAACTCAAAGTACACAATAAACCTTTTTTTTTTTTATTGTATCGTATATGATGTTTCTTTTTTCTTCTTTCTTTTTTTTTAATTCACCTTCAATTACTGCTCTCAATTTTTAACAACATCTAACCACAACACTGTCAATCTTTAATCGCTAATCTACGCAATTTTTACACATGCTACATTTTTATTTTCCACGAATTATATATCAATGCGCGATTAATGTCAAAAAATATGTTTGTATTCGATTATTTCATATGAATGTGCTTAAGATAATAATAATGTAAATAAAAATACTTAACAGTAAAGCAGTATAAATGAAAAAATAAACATTTTAATAACGATTAATCTAGTCTAAAAAGAAAGATAATAATTAAGGGTTATATATCGTTTAGTCCATGATTACATGGTATAGTACCAATGCACTGAATTCTATTAAGTAATACACGAGATGTAACATAAGATTATTAAAATAACCAAGAGTGGTCGATCTAAGATTAAAATGATCATAACCTAAAGGTGTAATTATTTGAAAAATGTATCTGGATTCCCTAGACTGGAATCAAGAAGGAAGAAAAGTGACTCCAGTAGGAATGGCCGGATATTTTTCAATGGTGATAACGGTTTGTTGATCGGAGGCCATGGATGTTGTCACTGTAACAGTGTATTGTTAGAGCAGTACAATGAGCGTGTTTAACAATACCGCTGGCCGATTGTTTCCTCGCCTCTTAACATTACTGTTGTCATTAGCCGACGTGGTCGCGATTAATTTGCTACTAAAACAACGTGCGCCTTGCCTGTCCAATTATTATCACGTGCAGGATACTCTATCGCGAGCAGAACGATCGTAACGATAAATAAATGAACAAGTGACACACTTAACAAAGTGTGGGATAATACTATTGACATTTCAGATTTAAGATTAATCGTCAAGGTTTGGTTAAAGAGGAAGAAATTTTTTTCCCTTTCATCAGTAGATAGTTTTAAGTGTCCAAGGTAACGATCTGAAAGAATTTTTGAATGTAATGTAGGTTTAAAGAATGCAGGTACACCCTCTTCGTGCTAACTTCGTGTTTGTCCAACTTACGTCGCGAATATCTTAAAAATTGATAATTCTTCTTCTTTAAAATTTTCTTTAAAACGTCGCTATTTTGTTAATCTTAAAAGTTTTTCAATTTCCCTGGTCCATTCTATTAAGGACACCTTGTACATTATAACGAGTGTCAATTTCTTATTCTAACCGAAAATTACTTTAAAAAAATGTGTAAGCTTTTATGAAAGAAATGTAGGGTTATTATTTTTATACCAATGAATGCTTGTCGCTCGTTCATAATACGTCATGCTTATGCAGAAACGATAAATTAGTAGCTAACCTATGAGTGGAAACTCAATCCTCAACCCTTTAAAAAATTACGATTGACCGAACGAGCGTTAAGAAAGAAGGGAAAGAACGGAGTCCTTGTTTTGATTAGGGAATGTCAAAGCAAACTGACGCCGCGCGACACAGGGCTCCCCCTATGGTTTTATTGCCTTTTTATGGTAGTTTGTCGCGACCGGCCACGGTCACGTTCCACGGCGAGCCATTGTGTCACGCTCGTGCTCTTAACCTGGCCAAAGAGGCATAGAATTTATTGGAAATTCGTCGTACAATTCACTTTCTCTTTTAGTTTTGCAAAAATCCATAACAACTTCTTGTCAAAGTTACTAATGGAGTACAGGGAAGTTCAACAATGATATTGTAAAATAATCCAGAATAAAATCAGAAGAATTGCACAATAATATGGATTTTAAAAGACAAAAAATGTAATAACAGAAAATTACGTAAAAATGAAATGGTGCAAATGTGAATATTTATTAAAACATTTCCTTATCACTGAATAAATACGAAACCCTGTATAAATACGAAAAAATATAATAATAGGAAAAAAGATAATCTTAAAGATTTAATCATTTTATTACGACGAATCCCGAAATATTTTTATTTGTTTCCTATCTAAGCAACTGTTGATTATACAGTTTATTCATGAATCTTTTTTCCGAGCATATAGCACCATCTAACGATAACAATAGGCATTAAATGATGACCGGTTCTCGACCGAGTCTTTCGTAACCTAAAGAAGCAGAAGACTAAGTTTAGTAGAAGCATTGGTATTCCTGTTCATGAGGGAATCAATTGGCGAAAAAGTTGGAATTCTGAAATGGACGACGACAGCGATCAGGAGCATTTGATCCAGGACGATTACTACACGTTCCTGAACATCCCAAGAAATGTGAGGGACCGAACAATTTTCAATATCGAACATGGCTTTCTTGCCCGGTTTAGGCTAGGGATCGATCCTTGGCCCTCCACGTGACATGTTTCTCCACGATGTCTGATGTAATCTAGCCCTTAGCGACAAAATAACATTAAATTCTCTATTAAGAAATATTTTCATATACGATATCATATACTAGCGTTCTAATAACTAATCGACCGAATACTGTGACTCTGTTTTTATAGTCTATAGCGCACAGGGAAATATGCACTTTAAAATAACACACATATCAAGGTTCTTGTTATTGAGATTAAGAATTTTCTAGAGTTTACAATAAGTTTAATTGCAGGCGACACAAGAGGAGATTAACTATGCGTATCGCAGACAGAGCATACTCTATCATCCTGACAAACATGTGGACCCTGTGCTCAAGAAAGAAGCAGAGGTTTTGTTCAACCGTACCAAGGCAGCGTATAAAGGTTCATATAAAATATTACAAATACCATCTTACACACTGCATAAAAATAATACATTGCTTGTTATATTCATAGTCTTGAGTAATCCACATCAAAGAGCTATTTATGATTCTGTGGGGGTCAGGGGCCTACAAACTGAAGGCTGGGAGATTGTAGAGCGCACTAAGACTCCTCAAGAGATCAGAGAAGAATATGAGTACCTTGCAAGGGAAGCAGAAGAAAGAAAATTACTAAGGCTCACGAATCCAACTACCAGTGTCACAATGAATATCAATGCAACAGATCTTTTTAATCAGTATGATGAAGACTATGAAGATAGGTAATGCACCATCTTTCTCACGGCAGATATATGTGCTACAAAGTATATTGTATTTTAAAATATAGCCGGGACATACTTTCATGCATAGAAGTCAGTGGAATGTCATTTACGCAGTCCATTGAGGCGCCTCTTACTTTGCAAGACATTGTAACGATGTACGGTCATTTGAGTACAAGGAATGGTATAGGTTCAGGTTCCGTACACGTCGCGGTGAAGAGATTGCTTTCCTCAAAGGGTTGGGTGGAAATGGACGTCGGTGCTGGCAACGGACCGACGATATCTTTGAAAGGATTTCGTTTATTGCCATATAAACTGATGTTGAACGCGGCAACTATACTGGAGTTCACTCCAAACGAAAGCAAGGCTAGTCTTATAGGCAGTACGTTAATTTACTTTACACTGACAACAAATATTATGTATCTGTTACCGCTATAATAAAGACTATTAATTGCAGCTCTCACAATGCAACTGGACACCCATACAATGGGCCAACTTTCATACAATGCAGGCTCAGAAAGCTCTATGAGTACTGCCATCGTCAGAAGTACACCGAGAACTCACATGTCATGTTCCATACACCTTGGTATCTTACGATCTTTCGTTAGTTTTAATTACACCTATAAAATGCAGGAGAAAGAGATGAAATTACGTGGAAGCGTGAAGTTAGTACCAACCACCAAATTGATTTATTATTCATAATTGTATGTATTGTAGTTAGAGCTGTTCTTAGATTGTGGTAGGATTAACGTTTCATTATTTATAGAGCTGGCACGGTAGGAGTGATTGTGGAATATGGAGCCGAAAAGAAAATTTCACGGCATAGTAGATTGTCCGCGACAGTGTCTGCAGGAGTACCAACAGGAGTGACATTAAAGATCAAACTGAGTCGTTCCTTCCAGACTTACGCGTTCCCCATTCATTTAAGTGACGAAGTTCTTCCAGCCACTGTGTTCTACGCCACTGTAGTTCCTTTGATGACGTGGATGATCGTGAAGAAGGTCGTGATAGATCCCATGGTGAAGAAACGGGAGGAACATAAGAAGGAGAAAGAGAGAGAGGTGAACAAGACGAGGATGTTGGAGAAGCAAAAGGAAGCAGAGAGTGCCACCAAATTAATGAAAGCTACCGTGAGTAGGATAAGAGCTCAAGAAGAGTCAAAGAAGGGTTTGATCATCACGAAAGCTCTGTACGGGAGATTTGTCTATCCCCAAGAGGATTTATATAATTCAGAGCAACAATCTATACGCAGGGATGAAGTTATAGATGTGACCATTCCCTTACAATGTCTAGTAAAGGATTCAAAGTTGATCCTCTATGATGCTTCTAAGGTATAACTTATACACCCATGGTGATTTTTTTTTTTCCAAAAATGATAAATTAATTGTGTATCTTAATATGACAGAGTGAACTGCCGGGATTTTATGATCCATGCGTAGGAGAGGAGAAACAGTTGTTAATACAATACCTATTTCGTAACCAAACCCACGAATGCATAGTGAAGGACAATGCACCAATCAGAATACCATTACCATGTAAGAATTATTTATTTAAGAGAATTTTAATTTATAGATTTTTTATGTACAACAGAAGCACGGTTCTCTGTTTCAGCTCATAGAGTGAATACGACATGACGTATGTGCCACCATGAGAAAGCGAAGTAAAGTCACTGTGATTCACGGTGATAGTCCTGTACTGCTTCACATTGAATTCTTTCAATCATTTTTAGATTAAACTTCCACCAGATACCTTGTTGAAGTGTTCGTCGATCATTTATACTACTTTGTACGATAACTTTTATTTACCCAGAGTAATTATTCGCATGCTCTTGCCCCAATTACGGGGAATAGTAGAAAAACTAGATTCAACCGATTTATTTCTCAAATACTGCCCGTAAGAAAGTTGGAAGATTAGATAAAAATTTAGCTGAGTCAATTTCAGCAATAGTCGTTTCTTCGCTTCTTTTGGCACTATCCCGTAAAGGTGTCCATGAATGGTCTTGCTCTAATCTATAAGAACCTCTATAAATTTGGGTAGGTGCACAAGTACCCCACTCCTGAAACAATTAGTCACATAATGCATCTTCTATGATCTTAGAATAAAGTAGTGTAACTTACTTCTGGACTAAGCATAGAGAAGTAAAGTTGGCCAGTCTCTCGTTGATACAGATGATACACTTGTTCAGGATGTTTCACAAAGTTGCAAGGGATATGATTCAATTTCATACTCATATTCGCGTCTATGAGAATGTCTTCAGCTTGTTTTTTTAGAAACTGTATCTGTTCCGCTATTACTTGTAACTTGCTGCAGGTTTTGACCTTAATGAAACTGTCCGCCTTTTGTATCTCTGTAGCCAACGCGATCAGGTCCTTTTGAGACGTTTTAGCCACTGCTTCCGGATCATTCAGTGGAATACCTTGTGGCTCAATGTTACGCTCCACAAGAGCGACCGCTTAAACATTTAACAATGTACATGAAACATTGGTAATACGATATTTTAATAAAATACTATTTATACCTTTAGTAGGTAAATCCTCCGAGTTATCCATGGTAGTGTGTCCTATTATAAAATCTTGCGAGCATTGTAAAATTTTGAGTAAGGGTAATTTGAACTGAAACACGTGACTGGCTACCGAAATACTTGTAAGAAAATCATCTAAAAAAATATATAATAAAAAATCCAACACACTATGAATAATCGTGCAAAAGATCCCGTACAGAGTAAGTCGCGCCCAATGATTAGATTTTTTTCTTTTTTATTAAAATAACTCCGATTAAATCGGCAAATGATGTAACGTGTGTTCAACACTGATGTATTTGTCACATGTATACTCACTAGTGCTTCCGTATGTGAGGTTAAATCAGCTGTTGTGCTCTTTGAGGTTATTTTATTAAGTCCTTATTTACACGGGCTTTATCGACATGTATACATTCTCAAACTTCAACGGAGTATACATGGTATCCTCCGTAAGACAGTCCTTAAATGTAGAAATTCTGTTAATTACACGATCTTTACCTTTCTCGTTGACAATCTATTCGTTAAAATAGAATGACGGATACATTTTAAAAAATACAATAAGAATAGAACTGTCGTCGACAGTGACGGCATATATGTCGCGAAAAATGTCGTTTGCGCAACTCGAGATCTCCAAGGCGGTCGAAAAGGGCCGTGTAAACAGGGATTAAGAGAGTTGCGTGCAAAATTTCGAAGGAGCAGCGCTTTAAATGATTTACAAAGAAGATGATAGAAAAGTTATTTATTGCGACAGACGCAGTGAAACAAAGTAAATGCGATATTCTGACCGGTTTAAGTGACAGAAGTGGTTTCTTACTAGAGATGACTCCTTTCCAGGTGTAGAGTCAACAAATTATCGATCATATAAGATTATTTATGAAAGCTGATAAGTAATTTTGCAATGGATTGTGCAACCGTGATCGATGAAGCTGTGAAACGATTTTTCGCGGAGGGAAACAACGAGGTGCACTCGTGGCTCCTGACGGTTCAGGCCTCTCCACAGGCCTGGACGTTTGTCTGGGAGCTCCTTGATCCTTCAAAGGTACACAGAATATACTTTTCTGTCATGTATCAACGGTATTCCCTTGGAGATAACGGATCTGCTTTCTATTCCAGTCAAGGGAAACCCAGTTTTATGCAGCAACCACACTGCATGCCAAAATCTCCAAACAATGGGACGAAGTGCCTAAGAGCGAATACCCTGCTCTGCAAGAGCGTCTGATAAATTTTATGAAGCAACCAAACATGCCTAAAAATGTTCTCTCTAAATTATGTCAAGCGGTAATGTCCTACACCTTGCATAGATTTGGTTATGTTTAATTCAATGCTGGAAAGTTTGTTATTCTATGATTTCAGTTAGCCGGATTTGTAGCAAATACTAGTGCTGTTGCAGAGAATGAGGATAAGAATAAAAATGTTGTGGATGAATTGATGAGGATGTTATCTTATGATTCACTTCCTATGTTGGAATTGTTGCTACTTACACTTTGTGAGTTACCAATAGAGGTAAAGTTTATATAAATTATGAACAATATATTACTGTCTGCAGTTTTTTAGATTAATATTCATGATGATTTAATTAGTTTGAAAGAAGACATGCAGTGAAACGAGTCAAATTGCATGAATGTTTAGTGAATGGTTGGTGCAAGACATCCTGGCTTTTGCAACAGGTTTTCTCCATGTGTAGCCCAAATTCTCAAGACACAGATAATGATTTACACTTATTAGCTATGGAGTGTGCATTATCTTGGCTTAAAGTTGGTCAACTTCCTTTAGAAGCAACAGAACAGATATATCTTCATCTGCTGGCAGCTGCTGCATATTATGCACCAAGCAGGTACATATATATGTAACAAGAACATAGTTTTTTCAGTTTATCAATATTATCAGTTATTTAATTTTATATTGAAACCAAGGGAAGTACACAGCGAGGAAAATGTCAGAGGTTGGGAAGTTGTTCAAGAATGCTTGAACATAATAGTGACCCATTGTGAGCTCAGAAAGAGACCACAAACATTGTGGGAGTGGGCACGGAGTTTGGTAACCATGGCAAGACAGTACAATGGAAAATATTTTTGTGAAATACTGACTGCTATTGGAGAGGCTCACAGTAGAATGTTTCTATATGCTTTAGTAGATGAAGGGAACGAAACACAGAAATGGACTGTCGAAGGCTTAATCGAGTTACTTTTGCAATGTGTCGAGCAAAAAGGGCGATATCCTACGGATGAAACACGCAGTTGTATCCCATTTGGATTCTGGTATGACTTACAGGACGATCTTACCACTTTGGATCAGCCTTATGAAAATCGTGCTTTGTTGGCCTTGAAGCCCGTTTACGCGAGACTGGCTCAAGCATTGTTGAGGAAATCGACGCTTCCCGCGTCCCCCACCGAGGCAGGGAACACAGACGAACGAGAACTCTTCAGATGTTATAGACAGGATGTGGCAGATACCTTAGACTATTGTTATAAAGTATTAGAACAAGATTTGCTAGTGCTTCTCGGACAGAAATTGAGTCACACGTTGGACAGTTCAGAAAAATGGACGGAGATTGAATCAACGTTGCACGCTTTTGGAGCTCTAGCTGACAGCGTCGGTATAGAGGAGTCTCACTACATTCCTGCCCTCATGGATTTGGTCCTTAGTCATATCCCTTACGATCTCTATCCTGAAGAGGTACAACAAATTCTCTTGTAGTGAAATGGTGTATAAATAGATTATAAAAGAAAGAGTAGTGCACGAAAGAGTACTATTCTACTGTAAGCGCTCGAGACTTTATTTAATGATTTCAGGTATTGGCATGTGCTTGTTCAACAATGGGAGCATACGCAGAATGGATAGGACAGCATCCGGATCCCTGGCTGGAGAGAGTGCTGCGGATCGTGACTTTAGGCTTGACCAGAGGCGCAATAACAGCACCCTTTGCAACCATGGCTCTGAAGGACTTGGCTAGAGAGTGTGAGCAGCAACTCTCTCCGTTCGCCCCATCTATTCTCAACACCATTGAACGGACTCTTCCAAATGTCACTCCAGGATGTGCAGAAGGACTTCGATTGATGTATGCAGCTGGCAAACTATTGAATACTTTGCCTTCTGTGAAGGAACAACTAGCTCATCTGGACGCTACATTAGGCCTGTGCATAATAAAGATTCGGCAGCTGTTGGAGCAGCCTTGGTTTAAAGCACGTGGTGCAGTGATGAATCAACTGAAAATGGCCACCATGTTCTTCTCTACATTAGAAGGTTCCATTGGAAAGGCTGTGCTAGATGGTCTGTTACCAATATTTAGTCAAATCGTGGCCCATCCGGAGTGGGGTCAGGATAATTTCACGTTGGAAGAGATGTACACCTGTGCCCAGAAGTCTCTGACGTCGTTGCTACACCCTGAAGAGGACGCCAGACCCCTACTTTCCATTCTGGCAAACTCCTATAAGAATTGGCCTCACCCAGCAGCCCTAGGTCTCCTCAGACAGCTTGTACTACTATTTGGACGAGATCCAAACAACGTGATAGGTCCAGTTTTTGCAAACATAAGCTCAGTTACCTTAAGTGGCGTCAGAGCCTGCAGATCGGTGAATGGAAACCTATCAGACTGGGCGGAATTAATGGAAGCATACCTTGGACTGTTAGCTCAGATTTGCAAAAAGAACACCAGAATGCTGTTGCAGGTCCCTGATCAAATTCCTGAAATGCTACAGTGTGGTAAATTTCAGTTTTTGTTTATTGCGTCTTCTTAATCACAGAATGCGTACAATTTTATTTATTTAAATAGGAATAGACTGTTTGCCGCTTCCGGAAACGGCGACGGTCAGGGCAGCCGGAAACTTCCTCACCCACGCCATCATGCAGAGCCTACACCTGCAGACATTCATACAGCCCATTGGTCAGCAATTGGTCTCCATGATTTTACAGTGCGTGGGTACGTAGTTAACATTTAATTTACAGGGTGGTAGTGAAAGTAAAAGGAAGATTTTTATCTAATAAACTATAATAGGAGGGGAAGTACCACGGTCTCACTTGGAACCTCACGCGGAAGTTTTGTTAGCGTTGAACAAAACGTGCGTAGAATGGATTGTCCAGTGGCTTCATACCGCTTTCGACGAAAACTACGCCTTATTTAAAATTTCTCAACAACAAAAGCAGGAGTTTGTGAAAAGAGTTGTAAGAGAACGAACGAACAAACGGGTGTGCGAATTATTGCAGGATTTCAGTTTAGAGAATTTGGCCTCGGCAAATAATTGGAATGTAATGACGCCCAAGCAATAAATGAAAAGAGAAAAACGGTATCAAGTAACTTAATCATATTGGAAATTAATGGAAATAAACGCTACTCTGCTCTGTGTAAAATATGTACTGCTGCGAATAGAATCGACCAGGGTAACGTTTATCTATTGTGTAACAAGCAAAATTTTAAAATAAAGACTATAATGTGTACATTAAAAGAGACACGTAATAATTAGAGAGAGAGAGAGAGAGAGAGAGAAGAAAATTATAAACAGACATATATGTTACATAATCCATGGATCCTCTTTTATTTTTCTTTTATTCATTCATTCTTTAATCAGTACGTTTAAAAAAATTTTTTCGTACAAACACATTTTGTTTGGTGATTTCTTTTCTTTCCATGATTGGTCGCTCAGCAAATACATCTTATTTTTTATATAAATGAAAACAATGATGGTACAATTTTAAATAAGAATTCAACAAAATATAGAGCAGTCAAAAAAGAAACAAAGAATCAATCAATCATGCTTAAAATATCATTTTTCGTTCCTTCAGTTTTTTTAAGTTTCTTTTTAATCTAAATTAAATGATCACATTTCACAGCTATTCGTACTCAACATATATACTAACTATGTTGATTCTCCTGTTTAAATCTATAATATAGTACTCGATAGTGTCCTCCGCACAACATCGAAACATAAAAATCAATTCTTTCATTGTAACCTCATCATTAATTATATTAAATCAATCTTACAATTAACCTCTCTCTGTGTATGTGTTTGTGTGTATTCTTTGACGATATGCTTACAAAAGGGGGAGAAAAAAAAATGGAAACTCTAAAATAAAAGTACTTACAATTGAGTATTATAGTATGTATATACAAGACACTTCAATATTTCTTTGAAGTTTTTCCATCCGTACAACTTGGCAGTTCAACATACTCGTCTCGTTTTAAATATTTTTATTACAAAATATAGAAGAGAAATGTGTATGAGAGAGATAAAGATTTTCGATTCTTCGTCAAATGCATTTGTTTTGTTTGTTTAAGTCGAACCTTTATTATGATTGTTCTCCTCGGTTTGTGACGGTATGCAAAATTTTGCAGCCACCCGTGACTTCTTAGGCTTTACTACGTTTTGTGTGGTTTGTACTTGTTGGTGTGAACTACTTTGAACTGATTTCTGTTTCTCAGCGATCATATTAGTGGCTTCTACTTTCGTCGTCTAAAAGAACATTTAATTTTTTAAATGTCTAGAAAAAGAAAAAGGATTATCTTAACAAACCTTAATTGGCAATTCCTTCTTCTGTTGCGTAGCCACCGGCTGAGGATTGTTTTTGGCACATTGATTCGCATTGTCCTTGTTGCTAGCCCTTTTAGCTGTGATATCTCTGCTCTTCTTTTGTGCTTGTAACGGTACGAAAGTGGGATAATTCTTTGCCTCAGTCTTCGTTTCGTTGTGAACTGTTCTGTGCTGCACGTTATATTTGTATTGTTCATTATGCTTGACCAGGTGTTGCTGGTAATTGCCATTGTTTGGATGACCTTTCTGAACCCATTCAGAGAACCATTGTAGGTGCTTAGGTTCTGGAGGGAAATGTTGGGGCATCGGTGGTCTTATGTTCTGCGACCAATTGCTATTCTGTGGACTAGAGTACCAATGTTGAGGAGGTGGTAGTAGTGTCTTCATATGTGGCATTACGTTGGCTAATTTTAATTCCTGACAGGAAAAATAATAATAAATTAAAATCAAGAAAATCTGGGATTGAAGAATTGTTTAAATAAGAAAAATCATTACAATGTAAACTTTCTTTGCAGCACTTCCTGCTGCTTGTTCATGGTTCACACAATAGTCTCCTGCGAATATCCTTTTGTCCGGCAGGAGGATGTGCGCTTGGATCAGATTGGATTTTTCGTTTGTGAAGTAACTGTACCTAGGCATTCCCGCTCCACTCAGCTGACAGTAACTCAGCAATTGAGAACAATACCAAGTCGGTGTTTTGTCATCCTTCACCTTCTCATTCTGTCGGGCATACTGAAATACATCAACTTATTTTAATAAAAAATACCTGAATAACAAAACTCCAAGTGTATGCTTACATCGAACAATTGTTGCACCAAAGGTGGCGTGTTATTCGAGGGGGGTTTGGGTGTTCTCGGATGCTGCACTGTGGGCTGTTGAGCATTCCCATCAGGGATCTTTAACATTGCCTTCAAAAATGCACTAGGATCCTGTGGCTGAAGTATAACAATTAATACTGAATGATGAAGATGTCATGCAATTATACTCACTGAACTTTCAGGGAATTCCTTGTTGCTCTGTTTCACCTTAGTGCCCATTGGAACTTGTGGAGGAAGTCTGTTGATCTCCTAAAGAACCCAAACCGTATATATAGTTGGTGAAAGCGATATAGTGAGGTTGTAAATTAAACCATTAAGCAGTAACACCGATTGATGTAGCCGCACCCAGGGCCATGCGTTATCTGTAAATTCTTATTTGAAATTTCTGTTTGTAATCTTTCATTTAAGATACACGGTATTAAGCCTCCGTCGCTTCTTGTCCCAGAGTAATTCCCGTAATGGTAATAATTAACCTGCAGCTGTTAACGATTAAGACGTTAACAAATTTTTTAAATATACTGCAATGAAAGAAGCAATTTCGAGTTGACATCGAACGGCCCTGAGTGAGGCTCGAGCTCCTCATCTCCCTTGAATTGCTGTTTTGGCGCTCAGATTACGTGTACTTTGACGCCTGATTGATTTTACGAGCTCACCACACCGATTCCACTGACTATCACTTTTTACCAGCCACTAAACAGATGTATAATATATCAAACTGACCTGCTTCTTGTGCAATTCGTTCCATATCGCCTGGAACTCAGATGTGGGCTCTATCTTCTTCTGTGTGTTTTGTTGCATATTTGGATTTGGCTGTGGATTTTTCACAGCTTTATAAGGTTTCTGAACGTTTATAGTATTCTGCGAATTGTACTGCTTCCATTTAGGTGCAGAGACCATTTGATTTTTCTGATTCGTCGCATCAGTGCTCTTCTGTATTATTCTTGGTGGCTTCGGCGACGCTGATGACTCCACTGATATATGATTCTCGTTTCTGTAGGACGCAAAAGCACTAGTATTTGCTCGTAAATGGCCTTCCTGACTGGGTGCGTTCTTCCAAGCGTCTGTGGTCTCCAAACTAAAATCCACAGTGCCCACTTTTTTACGCTCTAGCCTCTCTCCATAACTAATATTGATAAAATCAACAGACGACAAACGGTAAGTCCTGAATTCTGAAGATCCACTTGTGCTGAATTCACCTTGAAACATCATCAATTAGATTTCATTAAAAATTTCATACAACATTATTAAATATTTCTCAGAACATTCGTACCTATAAATGAATGATCAAACAAAATGTCGTACATAGTATCTGATACGTTCTCGGCCTTCTGCACTCCAATGACCGTACCCTTGTAGCCTAAGGGAACTGTGAAATTATCATTGGTGCAGCAAATTCTATCTAATAAAAAGGTTTGAGTTTTTGGATCAGGTGAAAGATTACGTAAACGAAGAATAGGCATGTAGAGCAAGTATGGTTGCACCTGCATCTCTACTACTTTGCCAATACTGTTTGCAGTCTTCAAATATGCATCAATTTCTTCTTCTAGCGTTTTCATCACCGCACTGTCGAGGGTTTCAGTGCCACAGGCACGACTCTCTATGCCCTGAAGTTGCTCCTTCAGCCATGCTGCAATCTCATTTAGTTTTCCAGTGCTACGATATCAAAATGAACAATTGGAATCTTTCAAATCCATTGAAAATCATTTTTATAATAAATTATTGCTTACCCTTTCTTAAATAAATCCTCTTCTTGTAAGATACTGATGTTAGAATTCAGCCCCAGTTTTTCGAATACTTCAGGGTACTTTAACATGTAGCTGCGAATTAAGTCCATGGTCTTGAAACTATAGTACCAAAAGCCATCTTCAGCCTTTCGAGTGTAACCAGGAATCTGTAATGATCCATAGACATGAAGAGGTGAATAAAATAGAATTAAATTCATGATATAATTACCTCTTCATTTCTCTTGTTGAATTTTAAATTCAACCCAATATTGCACATAGGATAATCCTGCTGTGAATCATCTGAGGTCTGCTTTACGAAAATCGAGCCAGTAATTCTGTTCATAAGGTATCTACTTATTCCTAACCTTCGTGAAACTATGTTCCCATGCATATACTGATCTTGGTGCTCCATTTGGGCTTTTTTCAAGGCCTCCAGCGATGGCTCCACCATCGTTATCATCGACACTTTTATTCTGCCTGATTTTTCACACACAGCAGACTCTCGTACCTATTGAAAAACTCTTTTAATAAAAATCCTGATCTAACCAAACCTACATGTATACATACTCGGCCCATTGCACCGTAATACGGGTGTCCCAGCATGAAACAGACAGATCCAGGGACGAAAATGTCGCTGGCAGACTTATAAAGTGGTAAACTGACAGAATAAACAGTAATACCTTCTACTGTGGTTTGATAAGGGTAACAGGTCTGTGTGTCTGACCATAGTTTTTCTATATGAAACTTTCCATGACTGCCAAAAACGTACTTACTGCCCACTAACAGTCTTACGTGAACCAGGAACTTCGTTTCCCCGATTTCCACCCCGTAGCGCTCTTTATATCTATACAATAATAATTACTGTAGAACATGTAAAAGGATAAAATTGTTAAAAATTAACTCACGTTTCAGTGATGGAGGTTTTTAACGAATTCCACTCGTCCTCGTTATAAGTTTCATAAAATTGTTCCAGTTCAGAATTCATGAAATTCAATTTAACGTTGCAGTTAGAAACACCAACCACTTGAGCTTCTTTTAAGTGAGGCCAATTCACGAACACTATATTGCCCAATAACTTGGACCCTATGGTAAGTAGATCAGTAGTTATGGGCGGTGATTTTATATGTAAAATCATGGTTCTCAAAACTGATGGTCTTTGAAATACTTTAACCTG